GAATAAGGAACAGAGACAAACAGAAAAAAGAAAAGGCAAAGAAGGGAATTTGTGTGAGATGCGGCAAACCTTACACATTATACTAACCACTTAGTACTTAACACCTAGCTTGTGCTTAATTTTACTTTCTTCTAACTATCAATTCTATTAACTATTTAACATTTAAAGTCTTTGTCATTAGAATTTCTAAGTTTCGCCTTCCTAATATAGTTTACATACATGTTTCGTCGCTTTGTGATACTGTGTTATTTCCCCTGAGAGCCATGTCAGTGCAGCTCAAATGTAATTTGGAAATTCATGTTCATATAGACATTTACTAGCAAGTTAGTATATTTAAAAAAGAAAATTAAAATGTCAATGACATTTAAAGCTAACCATTAAAATTTTAATGATTAATACAACATATTATTAAAATTTTAATGATTAATAAAACATGTCATTAAAATTTTAATGATTTTAATAGTTAAAATTTATTTTACACTTGATAATGTCGAACTGATTCGTAGGAGAGGCACATATAATATCAAGTTTTTTTTTAAATCCCGGTTAGAATTGTACATGCAGATTATTGTCACTATTTAAATAATGATAAGAGAATAACTTTTAATCAACTAAGCACTGTACCAATGCGTAATGATTTTAAATTTACTGAAAACAGTAATATACCTTTCTTTTCATATTCAAAAGAAATAATTAATTGTTATATAAGTGAAGATAAATTACTCGGCGGTAGCACATTGAAACGGAAAATATCTTCCGTGGCCGGAGTTATCGGCTTTCTAAAAGCAATTAAGCTAAACTCCCCTTGGAGACACCGCAGCGATAACATTGTATTACGCTCCCGCCTTATTCTTTTGTTATTAATGGGATAATAACTGACAGCAACGGCTTAATCAACGACTCCGCTTTAATGTTTAATTACAGATAACATGATAAAATGAATCCCATTTAATTCCTAACGCTCCTTTCATAATGTCCGGTTTTTCTTGAATCTAGATTGTGACAGAAATCATCACGCTTTTTCTTGTCTTTTTCAACACAGTGTAATATTGTGTATTTAATATTGAAAGTACGAATGAGAAAAAGCAAGAGAAAGTAATAATCTTAATAAAACTAAATGACGTTTTAAGTCTCTCATATACTATGTCTGTTTATGAAGAAAAACTGATTAATACTAATAATTCATATTAAATTTTCGATAAAAACAATACACATTGGCCACACAGTTCTGAAGTCATAAAAGACCGAAAAAGTTTAGCCGCTCGTTTCAATATTCGGTGAAAGATTAACCCTAAGTTGAAGAATTCAGAAAGAGCGACCCTCACAATGGCCATAAAAATGTAGCCTCACTTATTGGTTATCCGAAAAATAGGGTCGGCTGCCATCTGTCGCCAAATATTCTTAATGGTTATGATATGTTGATACTTGACATGAATATTTTTTGACTTTTTAATTTAGTGTATAGTTTATAATAATTTAGTATAAGATTGAATATGGATGGCTACCAAGGAGGAGAAATACCAAAGATGGATAGATTGTGTGAAAGAGGTCATACCTAAGATCGGAGTGAATTCAAATATGAGGGCTAATAGAAATGTATGAAGACCAGTACATCTTTTGCCAATCCCCCTTAAGAAGTCAGTAGGTTGATGTTGGCGTCAGTCAGAATAGTCGAAATAACGTATCATAAGTTTTTTTCTTTATTTGCTTCCAATGACGACAAATTGGTTACTGGTTTTGAGTAAAAAATAAATCTCCTTGGTGTTAACAATTAGAGCCACTAAGTTAGTGATTATAGGTAACTACGCGGCGACCGTGCTACAATTCTGAGACCCTTGCCGCCTATTCGGGTCCTCTGTTGTTAAAATGTGTGTGTTACATGCAAAAACTGTACAAATGTAAAAGTTTCCTCGCAAATAGGAAATATGATGTATTTTTTTTAAGTTGAAGCATTATTAAAAAACAGAAGTAACTTTAAATTATCTAATAGCTCCTAAATATTCCTTTAACTAACAAGGTGTACTTATGTACATAATTAAATTTTAAGTCATATTTCCCTTCTCATAAACAAGAGCTATCGATGCGAGCTGATAAATCTTTAAAACTTTGCTGTCTCCGGAAAATTTACGGAGCGATACCCGGGAGTATCTTAAATGATAAATTACAGAAGTTGCCAGATTCAATACACTTCATTATCTCCCCTTGCTTTGTTTATAACGATGAAACTTCTGGATGAAGCGAAGCTTTAAATATGAATGAAAAATATACCATCATTTTATGGCAATAAATTCTTCATAAGAAAATTTTACGTGCCTTTTACAAATAAACGTAAACTGAGTCTTAAATGATAAGCTTGATTTCTAAATTTCATTAACAATTGGACACCTATAAGATTTTGAATGAATAAATGAATAAGCCGCGATCACGAAATTAGTAGCTTTAGCACTATTGTAAGAAAAATAAAGACCTAGTTAGTGAAGAAATAAGCATAAACATGATTAAGAAACTAAATAACGGACAAAATAAAAACAGATATCGATAAGAAACGAAGATACAATAACAAAAGTTAATCAAAAAGTATTTACTATAGGTTAATAATTTATGTTCTTAGTGAATTCTAACAGCTCAGACTTAAGCTCCATGACTTAAATGGAATGCACTTAAATAACATATGTTTACCTACATACTAATTTTCTGCGAATATCAAGAGAATAACTTAATGGATGTTGAACGTAATCCGCTTAGCCGCAATATGGATTAAATGGGTTCATGTGTACATATGTATTACTGTGTTTGAATAATAAACCTATCCATAGAACTGCGTTCTTAAAACTCAAAATTCTTCGCTTACTGACTTTAGAATTGAAATATACTATTCTTACCGCTGTACCCTTAGCAGAGCTATAAAGTTTTTGATATCTTTTTGTTTATAACATAAGGTGGCAAACGAGCAAGCGGCCACCGGAATCCACCGAAATAGAAAGCGACCGCTGCCCATAAACATCCGCAATTGCAGATGCGTTGCCTACTCTTAGTCGACGGAGGAGAAGTCGCACATAAAGAGGACATTTACCCTTCTTATGCGTCTCCTCCACCGTCAAATACACTTTTCCTTCCCATCCTTTCCTCTTAAGAAAAGGGTGGAAAGGGAAAGGGACTAAAATTAGGCCTCCGGCGCCACACTCATCAGCCGAAACGCGGAATTGCTTCCGCTTCATGCCCGTTTTCTGTGTGGTCGTGGTATTACACCGGGCGAGCCGGCCCATTCGTGCGAAGATGTTAAAGCGGGCTCTACCACTGTCTAAAAGTGTGTCTATCTCTAAGTGATTAGTTAATTTTAATCATTATAAGCGTGTCCACACTGTTGACTATACTATCGCACTGTACGATTGTCGATTGTTTCGAAGCCAATTCAACTGTTTAGTGGCACGACTAAAATCGAGTAATGTGCACAACTGAAAATATGCTCATAGGAATCAAAGCGAGTCTAAACAGTTGTGTGGTAGATTAGTTTCAGGTGTGCCCTGACTCTAAAAATCTAAATGCCAATGAGTTTTGACTACTTTGTGCTTTATAGTTAGTAATAATGTTTTAATAATTTTATATGTTTTAACAATATTTTTCTTTTACAAAGAAATTGCGTTCTCTCTGCTTTTATCTGTGTTCATTAAAGTGGCTTGCAGTCGTGTGTTGGTTATGTTGACATAATTTCAAAGCATATAGAGCAATATGCTATTGCCATTTCGTATGTAAACGTGATTAGCCATATTGGTGAAAGCGGCTAATTTTGAGACATGTATGAATCTGCTTGGATTAGACCAGTACTTAGTTTACAGCTAATGAGTAACATGGTTAACGAAGAAAGTTAAACACATTCATTTTATCTTATTTAATTTATCATTCACCGTCAAAAATTAAAAGAATTATGATTTTTTTTTATTTTAATCTTATTATTTTCTATTTTAGTAAGATATATTAAATAGAACTTCATGTTTTTAAATGTGACTTCAAGTTATTGTACTTTTGTTATATTTTTAAATATAATACAAATACAAGTACAATGTATGTTATTTCCAAAATCAACTCGACAAAACCGAGCTAAAGTTTCGGCAGCGCATTGGAGCTGTGCAAATATGCTCAGGAGCTTTATTGAAGGTTTGTGTATTCAACGTACCTACTTTTGCATTTACGTATATTCCTTTGTGTGGTTATTCGGTGTATAAATTTCAACTTTCCAAATTGAAGATTCGAATACCCCGACATCTTTTTACATTTATTTTTAAAGCTGAACTTTGCAGTTCATTGTACCCGAGATCATAGTTTTACTAAGGGGAATACTAAGCTTAATAGACGGGGAAGGATTTAGATGATGATAACAAAAGTTCTAGATATCTTTTTTATACAAATAAGGTGGCAAATGAGTAAGCGGCCACCTAAATCCGTCAAAATGGCGAAGCGACTGCTGCCCATAGATATCCTCAATTGCACATGCGTTGCCTACCCTAAATGGTCGAAGGAGGAGATGCACATAAAGAGGATATTTGCCCTTCCTATGCGTCTCCTCCACCGTCAAATTTATAAGAAAAGTGTGGAACGAGAAAGGGTCTAAAATTGGGCCTCCTGTACCACACTCATCAGACGAAACGTGGGATTGCTCCCACTTCACCCCTGTTTTCTTGGTCGTGGTATTACACCGGGCGAGCCAACCCATTCGTGCGATGATGTTAAAGCGGGCTCTACCACTGTAAAATCTTAGGTAACCAATTGGAATAAGAACATTAATTTATACGGAGTTGTGTCCATACATCAGTTGTTTTTCTTTTTAAAGTACTGCGTGATCTAGGGCTTGTATTAATTCTTATTAGTCTGTTCACAATTTCTAAATTCCTGAAAATCTCAACATTTCTTCTTAAGTTAAAATGTACCGAATCACAAGAAATAAATTAAAAAAACACTTTGTAACATATTTTTTTACAATTACGGATGTTAAAAAAATAAAGTCTCAATTTTATCTCGTATTTATTGATTGCGTTTCGTGATAAGTGAAATTTTCCCCTCGGGTCGCTTTTTATTTTTGTCACGGAGCAATTTCTTTTCGAATCCGTATACAGAATAAAACGGCAGCGGCATAACAGTTGACGACACCGGCAGAAGATCTGAAACGAGGTAAGTGTTATTGTAACGGAATATATATTTTAATATTAATATTCGATTTATGACTACACCGAGACCAGATCGTAGTAACCACAGCTTGGTTGTAGTATTCACACCAACTTTCAATCTAGTTCCCCGTAGAGGTTGTTAGCACTGCTATAAGGTCGTGTTACAAAAGTCTGATGATGTTATAAAAGATCATAATATAAAAAGATACTATTGTCAATATTAATTTAATATCGTTACGCATGACTTTATATTAAATGACAAACACAGGTCCATATACAATCTTGACCCTGGCCCGTTACTCGGTTATGCAAGGCCGGGCGACCAGTCTTAAGCTTTTTAATGCAGTCTCTGCACAGTTTTGTTCAAAGGCCGCGTTCACACTTCATTATAAAAGTTATTATGAACTCTTAAAGTTACATTGAGTTACAATCCAGACTTGAGACTTTATTCCTTCGCTTTAAGAAAATTATGGTCACCCTATTCTGAAATTCACGGGATATTAAAGTAATTTTTATTTGTAGCACTATTTAGTTTAATGAAGAGATAATTCATAAGCACATGTCTACTATGACATATGCTTTATTTCTTGTATTCTGTATAGAAAATGTTATTTTTTAATTGTTTTCAATATACCACGAAAAGGTAGGAAAGGTTGTAAACATGACTTTGTATTTCGAAAGTGCACTTTGCGCACGACACGAAGTTTGTGAACTCAAGGCAATACCGTGAGTAAACCTGCATCCATTTAATTTTAAATAATAACGAAACATTCGCGTGTTGCATTACGTTAAAGGTTTACGCCATATATTTTTAATGATATTAAAAGCTGATATTTGGATGTTACAATAACCGTAAGTATTCAAAAACGCTCTTGCAAACAAAAGTTAAAGAGCATCTTTTTCCATATCTTGCAGTTTGAAAAATTGTGAGAAAGCATGTTTCGGCAGTGAGAACTCAATTTTTTTCTAACACCTGCTTAATAGTAAGGAGATTAGAATAGTAAACTTTTTACATTAAAAAAAAATCAAATGCCTTTGTTAATATCAAGAAACGATGGTCTCTATAATTTCTTAGCTGATTATCATTATGTATTTACAACCTTTTTTAATATAGATAAAAAATCTATTTTCCAAATAATAATAGAATTTGACAGTATCAATTCACCGAAGTGTTTATTTGCTATTCGAATTGTATAATCAAAATTGACTCACCGGGCTTCAGAACGTTATCGGAGTCCCGTCGATACAGCATCCCGTAAGTAGAGCCAAAAATACAGCCCGACAACAGTAGGAGAAGCAGACAAAAATTCATTCTTTAAATGGGCTGAATATACCGGGATCGCGCAACTCGACAGTGGATATATTTTATCCTGTATTTATTCGACACTCTTCCGTGTCGCGGCGAGCGGCGTACTCGAATAGACTCGAATAAAATATCGAACGTATCACTGATATTCTCGATACGACCGGCTGGCATTACAAGATCGAAAATCTAATATGAATACGCTTTTAGCAAAATCACTTTAGCGTAGGCTTGTACCGTTGTCCGGGAAGATTGCGGTAAAAATAAAAGATGGCATTTTGTAAATAAAAGCCGAATAGGTTTGTATTTGGGTTCGTTAGAGCGAAGGTGACATTGATAAGCACGAAATGTATTTTATTTTATAAGTATCAACGTAACTGATATTGTATTGATCTTTGCGTACTTGTATCTTTTTAATTCATTCATTAAAAAAAGTAATAAAAAAACGTAGTATTAACAATATTTAACACATTACAAGGCCTTTAGAACCATGTTGCTATGTCTGGATTTGCATTGACATGTAATTAGTTCCGAAGAACTTATTACCGCTAATTAATCACTAAGGATGAACCTTAGTGTCTATTCCTTCCGGTGTTCAACATTTAATGATTCTGAGAAAGAACGACATTTTGTCACATAAAAACCAGAAATCGCAGACATTTTATAAAGTTTACTTCAAGTGTAATAAGGTAGTAATAATTATTTTTTTTTGTCATGTGTGAGGAGATGAGATCATTTCTTGTGTTGACATGAGTCAGTGCGGAGGCGAGAGATGACACATTACAAGCTTCCTTAAGCGGTAAATGACGCATTATTTTATTTAAACTGATGTGTTCAACTTCTTCCTGATAAAGTTAATTAAATATTGTAATTATTAGCTTTCGCCCGCGACTCCATCCGCGTGGAATAAATAATACACAATCGAGTAACCTATATGTTCTTCCAGACTATCCACGACATCTGTACCAAATTTAATCGAAAACCGTTCAGCCGTTTTGGCTACAAACTCTAACAAACATCTATCCATCCATGTAAACTTTCGCATTTATAATATTAGTATGAAGTAATAAATTACAAAAGTCATAGGTCACAGTACAAAAACTTTATCAATATTGTCCTAAAAATTTACGGTAATAAAAAATTAACTTCTCGGTAATAAGTACCAAGAAGTTGATTTTATTTAAAACAGTAAAAAGATTTGACAATCGTGCTAGGGTTTTCACATTTTTACTTTCGAGGCTGAAACTGTAACATGAACCCCATGTAATTTTTTACTGCCCTATTAATTCTCCAGGCATGGCTATCACGAGATTGTATTTACTACTTAAAAGGGGAAGTAAATTTCTAGCACCCAGCGAATTGGGTAATTAAAACATATAATTGACGTTTAAACAACCAAAGTATTGTATTTTCATCCAACATGTGAATGCTGAATACAGGTGTAACTTAGCCGCGGGGATAAAGACCTTAGCCTGCATAAGCCAACTTTGTTTGATCCTTTTGTATTACCTACTCGAGGCAACTTGGCTACGTTTTGCAAGTGCACAAGAGGATAAAGAAGTTCAAATTACATTGGTGGTGTGTCGTAGTGATATTACTGTCAGGGGAAATAAGTGAACATCGTATAGTGGTGAACACGTACGTAGCGGCGTTCGTAAAAACATAAACGTGGAATGATATACACAGATTACGCTGTTTTTTAACAGCTCTTGGGTGTTTTTATGAATATGGTTTAAAAGTTTATTGAATTTTTTACACTTTTGTAGTTCACATCTCAAATTCGAACTATATACATAGATCCTTTTTTTCAAAATTAATTTCTTTTTTTGGTTAATGAAAGAAAGTCGTATCTAAAAGTTAACTAGTCTACAGCATTTATTAATCACTAGCTTTGGCCCGCGACTCCGTTCGCGACGGATTTAAAAAAAAATATTGTCTGTGTTCTTCCAGACTATGTTCTTCATCTGTGCCCAATTTCGTCGAGATTCATTCAGCCTTAAGACTATAACAAACATCCATCGATACTTTCGCATTTATATTATTAGTAGATAAGATTAGTATGATTGGACTATATAAATGCAAAAGTAATTCAAGAATAACAGCATTTAAACTAATAAGGACGAATTAGTTATTATGAATCTCACTTTTACACAAGCGCTGCCATTTTATATACAGACGACTCTGCCAAGAGATATAACGAAAGTTACTGTTGTATGTTGTATATTTTAAATCATACTATTATCATTTTATTTCAAAGACCTAAGGTGACTTCGTAGAGTATGAAAACAAAGAACTACTTTAAAGCGCCGACAACGGGCTGTTCAAAACGGGTACATCGGACGTTTGGTAAAATAAAACCAATAAAAGCACGGAAGCTTGAACTTTAATCCGATAACTTAAGGTTCATATTCGTGTGCACGTACAAGAAAACCACGTTCGAAAATGTAATGAAAAGGGAACTAACATTTTTATAGAGGTTCCAACGACTCTCACAATGGTGGCGAACGTTTTACATTTAAGGAATCCTCATTTTATTATGTGTCGTGTTACACATCAGCTTTTATGTGCCAACATCTTCATACAAAACGGGTTTAACTCTTTACCTACTAAAACTGGGACAATTAAAACTTTTGTTTGTAATAAAACTTACTGTAATAAAATTCACTATTATTTCTTTTCATTTATTAGACAATAGCTTTCGCCCGCGACTCCGTCCGCGTCGAATTAAAAAAAACAAAACTAATTACCCTATGTGTTCTTCCGCATTATCCTCTACTTCTATACCAAATTTCATCGAAATCCGTTCAGCCGTTTAGGCTACAAAGTCTATCAAACATCCATCCATCCATCGTAACTTTCGCATTTATAATATTAGTATGATTATTTTGTGCCATTATATATCTTTTAGTAAAATATAGCAAAACTACTTCAGATGTAAAGTTTTAGCCACGCACTACTAGCACCACAAAGAAATACATTTGTAGACTTTTATTCAAATAACCTCAACCCATTACTCAAATAAATCCCAAATACTTATCTGTTAAAAGTTTACAACACCAGAGGTCGCCGGCGGCGACACGGCCGTTCTTTTTGTTTAACTAGTTACTAGACGTAATAAAATAAATCAACGCATAGTTGTACCGAATAACAAAACTTTTGTAAACAATTAATAAATTTGTAATTACCTTTACTTTTTATTCTTAACATCGCCTTTTTCGTATGTAAATTAATCCTAAGTATTTAGCTGCGTAAAAATCATTGTTTTAGTAATATTCTGTAGGCTATCTGACGTAACATCAGGACGGTTAGTGTCAATAAGGTGTTTGCTGATTACTCCATATAAATACAGCCGTCTTAAATTTAAGCAAACGTTGGTTGCCCTCTAATAAAATAGAGTTCATAAACATCTCAACTATTAACTAGCTTTTGTTTGATTACAAACATATAGAGACTGTTCCATAAAATTGTTTACTTAGCGCTCAGAATGAGTGTTAATAAAAACAACGAGCTGTGAATATAATATTCCCTCCCAAATGGAAGTTCCGTGTTCCATTATTTCAGTCGGTATTACATTATCGGAATCGATGGAAAATAAGAGGCTGTTCGCAATGTCAAACATCTTAGGGAGGAAAGTCAACTGTAAGTCAGGCGACGTTGTAAATTATCACGTTTTTTATCTATTTATTAGAAAACATGCGAGTTATGTTATTTAAATGCTTAATTTTTAATGAAACGTTGAAAAAGCGATATCTTCTAATATGTTGCGAAACAATGGCTACCAGGAACGACCGTAAACGACTCATAGATTGTATAAGAGAAGAAACTCGTTTGAATCAATAGAAAACAAAAGAGTGTCTAGTCCTGGAATACAGGAGATTCTACATGATCTATAACAAAGTAATTATTAATCAAGTCCTTTTGCTGAATGTATTAGAATCGTTAAAGAGAATATGAATAAAATTTGCATATACTCTCAGATTTCGTACGTACGATCTCATCTTTAAATTTGTGTGTTTATTTATTCCACCGGCTCCGTGTAATAATGTGATGTAACACCTAATATAACAGACAGAAGCGGGGTTCAAGCGTCCCAAGAATGTTACACAAAGCATTATTTTGAAACATACAATGACAATGGCGCTTTTCCAAGCGAATAGTATCCATTCATGACATTTGCAAGGACCGTTTCACAGGGAACGGTGCTGTAAATACGTTGACAAAAGCATCGGAGTTACGTCTCAGCGTCCCAAACAAGCCATTCGAAATAAAATTCGATGTTTAAGTCACACGGTGGTTGCATATAACTGGTTGCTTTATATTCTATTCCAATATTCAAAACGATCGGTTTCGTGTCTAAAAATTTCATCAAATGTCTTGGAAAATATTCAAATGTGAAATTTTTTTAACAAGGATATCTGTCTGTTATTTATAAACGGCGATAAAACATTTTTAACAGTGATAGTTTTTGGTGAACATCAATAGAAAATAAAACAATTTTTAAAAAAAGTGTTTCATGGTAGATTAAATTTGGTTTTCGTAACCGATTCGAATCAAATATCCGCAGCTTGATGTATTCTAGATTTCGATTTTAAAATAGCAATAAATAGCACCCTTTTTAAATCGAAATCCAGACTATTCCCCGTGTACGGTGGCGTCTCGCATGTTTACATACCATAAAGTTCCCCGTATTAGTTGCCGGCTCGTTAGTCCGTACTTAAGGAAATTTAAGTACGTCTCGTATCGCAATTTATGTGAAACACATATGTTGTCTTTCCACCTTGAAACTTTTTGGGAAATTTACGCTCACGTACATTTATGTTTTGTTCTTAAATTTAATGTTTTCTCTACACTGAAAGATATCCAAAAATCTTTAAGTAAAATACGGTTAAGGGTGATTTTGTTTTCTCATCATCCAGCGTTGGATTTGATCTAAAGATCGTTCATACCTTACTAAAAATAAAAAAGGAACATTGTATCTGATGGCATTAACCCAGATTTGCTTACTCGCAATTAACATATCGGCTAGTGTTGTAGACTTTTACGACCTGCACAATCACTATCAGGTGAAAAATGTGCTCAATCTGGTAACCATTATTTTACAAAAAAGTGTTTTTATGTTTAAGTTAAAAACGTTTGCGAGATATACAATGTAAACTTTTAGTATCACATGTTAGTTAAAGAACTAATACT